AGCAGGTCACCGTGTGAATGACACTAACGTGTCAAAAGCAAACAAGGTGGAACCAGACTCACCTGGAGTCATTCCCACTGGCCTTGGCTGTCTTAGGGCAGCGTTACATGAGAACCAGTGAGTTTGGAAATGGTTCATTTGCAGGTATATTCATAACCACCCACCCAGACTCTCTGGTCATCACTGCTCACACCCAGGTTCCGGGTCCACATGCCGTTGAGCAGAGTGGCCTCCTTACGTTTCCATTCTCTACTTGTTTAAAACTACTTGCCTGATTTCAAAATTCTGCACTGGAATTCAGCAGCCCAGTCCGTCGTGTGTGTGTGTGTGTGTGTGTGTGTGTGTGTGTGTGTGTGTGTGTGTGTGTGTGTGTGTGTGTGTGTGTGTGTGTTCAGCCCAGTCCGTCGTGTGTGTGCGTGTGTGTGTGTGTGCGTGTGTGTGTGTTCAGCAGCCCAGTCCGTCGTGTGTGTGTGTGTGTGCGTGCGTGTGTGTAAAACATTGCTCTGGGAGCCCATAATTTACTTTTCGTTGTCCTCACACCGTCTACCCTGCCTGCAGAACTAAAGTCCTCAGACTGTACCTCCGTCTAGGCTAAACCTGTAACGGCTGTTCATGTCTCTGTCTTTTCTTTTTTAAAGCCTTCTCTGTGGGCTCCTGTTTCTCAGTGAAGCCCGGGGCCTTTTTCTTCCTAGGCAGAGTGGGAAGTTATCAGTGCTCTGTGGATATGGTTTCCTGGTCCTGAGGGGTAGGTGGTCTCATTAGCTTATGGAAGGTAACCTTTCCTAGCCGGGACACATGAATGGAGTTTAGGAGTCATCCTGTGGGCAGAGGACAGATGTAAATGAGGGTTGGACGTTTGGATGTGACTAGAGTACCAGGATTGAGTTTGGACAGCCGTAGTAAGTAACTCAGAGTTACTAGTGACAGTTCCAGTTGTAGGTGAGTCTGAGGTGAGGAGGCGAGGGGTGGGAACGGAGGCCCAGGGAGGCGGGATTCGGGACTGTGGGGTTCTAGGGCTTTCTGTAGAGAAACCCCCAGGTCTGGAAGTTCCGTTCAGAGCGGATGTTACCTTCAGTTTCACTTTTATCTCTTCAACTCCTTACTCGTCCCTGAGACCGTGGCCTCTCCCCTCAGTCTCTACTGCTGCTGTCTAGTCGGACTGTCACCCTGTCTGCCTGGGTGGCTGCAGCAACCTTCCAAAGGGGCTGTGCTCCAGGACCTGCCACCCCACGGCCCACACCACCGTCACCCTCCAAACCCTAAATGACAGTTTAATTTGTCCTTCTTTATTCAGTTGAGTCAGC